ATAATAATAATAATAATAATAATAATAATAATAATAATAATAATAATAATAATAATAATAATAAATGGTTGAGCCAGACTTGAAATGAATGATCTCCTTTTCAGTTTAGTCTTTTTTTTTTTTTTAATATTGTCCATTATAAAAATTGAACTTTTGTCCTTATTACAGAATTAATGTTTTGTTAATTCATGTTTTGTTAATATAGGGTCATCTGGGGTTTACGCGTTCATACAGTATGTAATTTCTATTATCAGGACTGGAGAAATGATATGAAAGTGTACATAAAATGAGAATCGAACTTACTTGTGGAGTATCTCGGATCAGGGTTGGCGCTGTACCATCCTGTAGCTGCTGCAGTATTCCGCATGCTTTCCTGGTACGACGGGAGGTCTCCCATATTGCCAATGCTCCCGTTGCAGTATCCCCCCATTGCGCCGTGGGAGAACTGGGAGACGGTGTGCGGCATGTGGTAAGTGGTGGCCACGGTGGCGTTGTGGCCCATCGAGTGCTGTTGCATGCCGGTCTGAGACACCTGAGGTTGTCGGTAGGCTCCCAGTGAAGAGGTTAGGTTCCCTGCGCCGTCCATGCCACTGAACTTCTTGTAGGTCTCCTCGATTGGACTCAAAATATCTGTCACTGAAAAAGGCGTTGTATGCTTTGGGCTCAACGACATGATTCAGAAAGCAGGTAGATTTTTTGTGTTTGAGCAGATCAACCGTGTTGTTGTATCGGCTCTCTCCTTGGTGGATGTCTACGTAAGAGAGTGCTTGGAGTGCGCCTGAGATCCTATTGATCGCCTTGGAGAAGGAGGCGAGCCCAGGGCGCTCTTAGCCCGGGTTTATTGGAGCCAGGAGCCAGGTTTACGACAAACACCGGGGGGGCGGAGCAAAACTCCTAAACCCGCAAACAACGGTCATTGACATTTTTTTAGGGACATAATTCATGAAAACACCCTTTGCCTTGTGATAACTTCGGCAAACGACCAAAAACTGATATTGGAGTTTATGAACATGTTCTTTCTAGCAATTTTATCCAGGTGAGAAGAGCCCGTGGTGTTATGTCCACCAGCTGATCTTGCCACATATGACTATTTTGCGTCAGTAGGGAATTCCGCTCTTTCCAGAAACTTTGAGAGCACTTTGAACAGACATAAGGACCACCGAGTATCATCAAAGAGCCACAATGAAGTTGCATGACCAGCTCATTTGGTCTTCTTGAGCATCATTTTACCCCACCAGAGAGGGGCAAGCCCAAATAAGATCAAAATGACAAAAATCCACGAAGGGAAATACATTAGGGATCCAAAGTCTAACTGTGTTTTTCTTTTTGTGTGTGTGTGTATGTGTCCTATTCATACATCTTCAAACATAGTTGCAATTTTCTTTTGCTATTTTATGAAATCTGAATAATATAAGGAAGATTTAATTCATATAATTAATTTACCTGGTGAACTTTGTAGAAAGTAATAGGGACTTTATCATTTAAAGCATGCTTCAAAGATTGTCTGAAAGTTTAGATTTTAAAAGACTGAACTGTCTATTGGCTTATTTTTATTTAAATTACAAACTTTGGGGGAGAGAGGGATATTTTTGCAAGTTTATGTTAATTTTAATATCAGATTTGAAACATTAGGCTTTTGCAATCATTTTATCATAATCAAAAAGTCATCAAAACACTTTCAAAATATGTTTATCAACTTATTTGCACTGTTTTTCTTTTAAGAAAAGTACAAACTTTGACAAAGTATGAGATGATGTTTTATAACAACTATCTTACTGGTAATCAAAATGAAGATGTTTATTGAACACTTTCATAAAAAAATGATATACATATACTTTTATATAGTGTTATGTGTCATTAATTATACATAAGGCTTTTGCAGTCATATTTTTATGGGTGCCTTTTGAATACAGGTGTCTCCTTACAGAGATAGTTTTTGAAGAAAGCACATACTTTTCTAAAGAGGTAGTGTTTTCAGAACTACTTGTATAAAGACATATACATTTGGTCAACTCCTAAATAATAAATTATCTTCAAGACCAAATAATTTTTGGAACATTGCCTAATTTGCATTGCTTGCATTTTTGTGTCATAATTGATACACTAGGCTTTTGGGACCATGTAAGTTTCATACATGCCTCATAAAATATATGGTACAGTTATACAACATTGTTTAGCAACATATTTACTCTTGATACAGCTTGGCTTTTGGAAAGTACCAAGTATGGTGAAGAGATGGCAGCCTGCATCTGAAATGATACATTTAGCATTGCAGAATTAAATCTAACAATATTCATGTCAAAATATTCTATCAGTCCTACTTAAGTTAAGGAACAGATACACTGTGTTTAAGCTTGATGGATTTTGGACACAATATTGCAGGTTAATGTTTTACCTTTTTTTATATATTTTTCAAAGCATCAGAAAATGTAGCTTTTTGGGTGATTTTAACAATACAAAAAAATGTTATGAAACATCATTGGATTTTCTGAAGTTCTTTGTATCATAATAAGTGAGAGTAATATGTGGAATATGTAATATGTAATATGTAATATGTGGAAACATGCAAAATAAGTTTATTGACATCTTTACTCGAGAAGGCAGTCTTTTGAGGAAAACACCAACCTTTTGTTGAAACAGCATATTCTTTCATAACATATTGTTTCTTTTCATATCAGAGTTGGCACAAAGTGCTTTTTATAGTCATGTGATTATGATAGCAAAAAACGAAAAAAAAGTGTGCCTCATATAAGCAACTGGGCCTCTGATTTTTTTTTACATCTAAAGACAGACTTACCATACTCGGGCAAGTAAAAATACTTTTTTAGCGGTAGAATAACTCAGGAATGTTAAATGACTCCAGGAAGCATGGATCAAAATGGTACATTTGGGGGCTAGAGGGTTTTAAACAGACTGAAGTTGGAATTTGTTTGAAAAATATGTTCTGTTTGAAGCGAGTCCAAATAAATTAAGAAACGGGTGGGCTATGTTCAGAACTGATTCACTTTGGATACAATTTTGGAGGCTTTAAATCCTCAAATCTGGTCCGCAGTCTTCACCCGACATTATAATCTCTGAGCAAACTGACTGGCGCCAGGAGAAGAAAGGGAGGAAGAGCGAAACAAGAGAGAGGTCAAGGAGGGAAAACAAATTGTGATGATGAACAACAGCACGAGAATTTCAGATTTAGATTCTTACACGGGTTAAAACTTTGTAAAAGTAATAATTTCTTTAAAAACGACCTTTAATTTACAATGGGATAATCACGATTTTAGGTTTATTTTCAATTTAGAGAATGAATGAGCTTTTTTTTTAAATGCAGATTTTTACTTAATTCCTTTTATTGTGTGGAGGAAGCTCTCTTCTCTGCTGCATCAAGCCACTAATGAAATTTACCATGGCATGATGGCAGCGAGCAGCTACCTACCCTAATTGAGCAAATGAAGATGTGACATGGTCAGCCATCAATTATAGCGGCACAGCGAGAACGCCAATCTCCATCGTTTAAGTTGATAACCTGGACGTAATAAATCGTTGTTGCCGCCGGATTTCTTTCTTTCTTTCCTCCACTCGTCTTCTCCCTCTCCGGATGCCAGGACGGATTTAACCTGAAGTGGCTCATCTTTGCTAAGTTAGTAGGGCTTGTCAGAAAGGCACTGATAAGGAAAAAAAAACAACAAAAAAAAAAAAACTAATCTCTGACATGACACTGAATATGTGTGAATAAATACCCCCTATTTACAATTAAAGAAAAACTTTTTTTTTTCTTAATTTAAAAATTAAGCAGTCCTTTCTGCCGATGTATGTTGTCTCAACCGTGTGCCTTTTTCCAACTCTTCTTTGGGAACGGTGTGTCCAAACAAAAAAAACAAAAAAAAAGAAAGAAAGAAAGAAAGAAAGGTAGGCCTCGGCCCAGAGCTCTAACATTATGTAAATGAGGCAAACCTCTCAACCTTGTGGATTACTGAGTCAGAGAGCAAGACCCTGCAGTCCGCAAACCCCCCTCCACATCAGGATCCCATAAAAATCTGGAGCTCGATGGCTGCATGCAACGGTTAGAACAGCTTAGACCCTAAATTAATTATTATTAATATTAGATTTTTAAATCTATGTCAACTTTCAAAAAAAAAAAAAATAATAAAAAAAAAATAAAAAGGAAATAAGATGCGAAGAACGCAGCTGGAGGCAGATAAACGTGGAACCGCGACAAGGTTGGTCAATTCTTGGGATTTTGCTGTTTTTTTTTTTTATTTATCTATTTTTTCATTTTACAAATGAAACCGTTTTCCTTGTAATTTTTTTGGAGATATTTATGTTACATGATCCAGTGTGTATTGCCACAGGGCAGACTCTGTTTGCACTACTCTATTTGCATCAATTTAAAAATTTTACTCCCGTTGAATGTATCTCCGTTATAAGTTATTGGAGAAAATATCTGGTACTCATTGCTGTAAGGATAGAAATATGTTTGGAGCTCATTTAACAATGAAACGCTCCATATGTTTGAAATTACTTCCTTAAAGAAAAAAAAATCTACATTTGTACGTTTATTGTGCAGATCAAGGGATTTTAACTCACATCAGCGACATTATTACTTTTCCACCTGTAAGTCTGTTATCTTGGCCGTTTAGCAGTTGTTTACAAGAGTCCGATAACAAACCATGAATATAACTAGTTATTATCCCACTGACAACCTTTTTCCAATACCGTCACTCCCTTAACTCAAAGCAGCAGATGCATCCAGGCGGCCTGGTTCCTGAAGTGCTTTTTTCCATCTCGTTGATGCGAGTTCAATACCCTGAGAGATGCGTGGAGATGGCTGAAGGGCCAGGGTCCTGACCCGCCAACTCAATCACACACCGGCCGAGGACAGAGTGCAGGAAACTGCAGAATTTATTTATACTTAGAGCCCCAAACGTCTCCATTTGAAGTTGCACGTGTTGTAGTCTTCTCTACACGACGGAGTTTTAATTTTCATACAGATAGTAAGTAGATGACAGTAAACATAGTTTACAGTACTTTATCTTTTATTTTTTTATTTATTTTTTGTTGTTGTTTGTTGGTTCTAAATGATTTAGGAATTAGATCAACGTCAATGGATGTAAGTCTTTCCGTTCGTAATTTACGCACAGTCCGTTTCCTTGGATTTTATTTATTTATTCAGTTATAGATTTATTTGACGTTTCTGCAAGTGAATCTATAGAGAAGTTTAACCGAATGAAGCCTTTTTGTGTGCAACTTGGTATTGTTTCCAGCGTTTTTTTTTTGTAGGTCCGCAAAAGCGCACGCGATGTCAGAACTCAAATTTTCAACAATTACACGAAATTTAAGGCATACACGTTGATGCATGTATTAAAAAAATAAAATTTTGGCTTAAATCCCTACAGAACAATTGGAATACAGATCTAAAAGATTGAATAAATGATTGAAGACAAGGTGATTTTGATTACAAATAAACATGACCGGCAGACCCCCACAGCTCCCCTTAATACTAATAGATTTGTCGGGAAATCAATGATAGATAAAGATACACAATACAAATAATGTATTTGTTGTTTTTGTGACGGGAAAGACAAAACAAAAAGAATCCAACTTTGAATATTTGCACTCACAACCAGATTACTTCGTATAATCTTAAATTTGAGATTCCGGTCTCTCGTGTCCGGCCTGTGAGTCTCATTTGTTGCAGAGATTTGTGGAGGAAATTCCACACCTGCGGCCATTGTTACACCATTTAGATCAAATACTTTCTCTCCTCTTAAATCGCGGCGCAGTGCGAGAGTAAAAAGCGGGCAGGTGCATATCTTTCAGCCGCTCTACTTGAAACGCTGCGGCTTCTCTGGTAAGTAGGTTAAAGGTCCTCCCAAGTGGAGAAAGTATGTGACAGACCTCTTGAAGGCCTTATTCTTCTGC